AGTAATCTTGTTCTGACTTGCAAATTTAATGTTGGTAAGAACATTTCAAAGTGAAACCTCACTTCTCTGAAACTTAGTAGTGACAACAAAAGTGGGGGTGACGCAACAGATATGCAAAGTCCATCCACTAAATTTCCTTCCCTTTGTTTATTGGAAAGCTTTCAGGCCCCCTCTCTGCCTATTTGCTCCTATTTTACATAGCATTCTCTTAAGCACATCACCGATGTTCAAACCCAACAGATTAGAAGCTGCAAGTTTGAATGGGTGAAGGGTGCATTATAGGTAGAATCTTGCCACATATACCCCTTCAGATGTTCAGATGTTGAAGCCCTAACCCAAAATGTGATGATATTTGGAGATGGGGCTTTTGAGAGGTTATTAGAATAGGTCATGAGGGCCCTCATGGTGGGATTCGTGTCTCTGTCATGCTGGCACCTAGATCTTGGATTGCCCAAGAACTGTAAGAGAGAAGTTTCTGTTTAAGCTATGCCTTCTATGGTATTTTGTTATGGCAACCCACGCTGACTAAGACATGAGAAAAAAGCAAAGTTCTTAGCCTAAGAGTTGGGGAGGAGACAAACTATAGAGGGAGGGACCTAAGTACAATCTTGGCAATCGTAGTGTAAGGAAAATAAAGAGCTTCAATTGAATAAACTCCGAGACTTCCTAGGATGCAACCTAATATAAAAAATGATTTTCATAATAATGACCCTGATTCATCAAGGAAGGGTTGAATTTTCTGTTTAAGGTAGTAAAATGTTTTAAATCCATATGAGAAAAATTTTCATCTAAAATAACTAAAATTATTCACTTTTTGAAAGTTGAACTGTTTTCTGCTATCCAAAATGACTCATAATATCCAGATGCCTTTTTGAGTTGTTACTATAATTTTTATTTTTAATGTCTTTATTGATTTTTAGAGAGAGAAGAAAGAGGGAGGGAGAGAGAAACATCAATTGGCTGCCTCTGGTATGGTCTGGGACCGAACCCTAAACCTGGGCATGTGCCCTGACCAGGAATTGAGCCATGACCTCCAGGTTCATAGGTCAACATTCAAACACTGAGCCACATTGGCCAGGCCCTATTCACATAATTTTAAAAATGGTACATTTCTCTGTCATGTTAGAAGGAGTACAAATATTAGATAATTTATAAAATGTATAAGTAATCAGGCCTTGCCGAACTAGAGAACAAAACAAAAAACTGCCTCCACGTCTTCCCCTTATCCTGTTGTGAAATGTCGTGAAAAGCAGTGCTTCAGGGCAAATGATTGGTATAAACTGCTTGCCATACCGTGTGCTGTTTACCTGTTCTTTATATTATCCCTTTCACTTTAGGCAGCTCACTCCCGCTCTTGGAGATCATAGTGACTGTGAGGTAGACTGGAAAGAGGGTTGGACTGGGAGTCAGGAGACTATAGGGTCAGTTCAGATGTGCCTCTGGTTAGCTCTATGGCTTTAAGCCTTTTTTCTGAGTCTCAGCATCATCCGTTAAAAATAATCCCTCTTGTTCCTCCCCCCCCTCTCTCACTAATTATTTGATATTTCATTTATTCTTAAAGCACTGTTACCAGGGTTGTGGAAGAAGGATGATGTTGGGTTCTTAACTTTAATGAACTCATGCATGATTGGGGAACTTGAAAAATAATACTGATTTCCAGGTTCTAATCCCAAGGATTCAAATTCAGTTGGAATGTTTTTTTAACAAGCATCCCAGAAGATTCTGATACAGATATCTTCAAAAATGCTGTCTTAGTAGGTTCCAAGTATGGCACAGTATTTTCCTTAGTAGTTTATTAAGGAGAGGCTGAGAGCCAGATATTTTATTTTCACTTTTTATAAACTATAAATATGATTGTGTGTGCAGTATAGTTGCAACAGAACTAGACAGTAAAAAAGAAAGTTGATATCCTTTGGAGTTGGTTTGAAAGCCATAAAGGTGACTGGTTTGTAGTGTTATTGAGAAGATGGTATGTTTAGTACTTAATTTTGATTGTTAAAGCAAGGATGGAGGGGGTGGAGGGTAAAGTCTCTATTGGCCACACACTTCCTCACATAGTTTGACTCTTTCTAGTCAAAAGGAAATTATTTACTAGCATTGGCATAACAGTGTCATGGTACTACCGCAGCTATTAATCCCAAGGAAATTATTGAGTTTGTAATTTATTCCCCAACTATTTACTGTTGGTATTACTTATTTAGATTAAATATTTATTTCTTTCCTTTTCTGGGAAAACTCCAGTTTTTATTCCTCTTGCAGTAAATACCTTGCTTTCCCCCTCACTTGCTTCCTTATGTTTCAAGTAGATTGGTTAGCTGTATATTTGTTCTTCCGTTTCCCAGGATATAGCTTGTCACATGTTATTTGAGGAAATCTGCCTGAATCAAACTCTCCTTATTATAATATATTTTATTGCCCTGACTGGTTTGGCTCAGTGGATAGAGCGCCGGCCTGCGGACTGGGGGGTCCCAGGTTCGATTCTGGTCAAGGGCATGTGCCTTGGTTGTGGGCACATCCCCAGTGGGGGGTGTGCAGGAGGCGGCTGATTGATGTTTCTCTCTCATTGATGTTTCTATCTCTCTTCCTTACTCACTGTAAAAAGTCAATAAAATATATTAAAAAATATATATATATATATATTTTATTGATTTTTTACAGAGAGGAAGAGAGAGGGATAGAGGGATAGAGAGTTAGAGACATCGATGAGAGAGAAACATCGATCAGCTGCCCCCTGCACACTCCCTACTGGGGATGTGCCCACAACCAAGGTACATGCCCTTGACCGGAATCGAACCTGGGACCCTTGAGTCCGGAGGCCGAAGCTCTCTATCTGCTGAGCCAAACCGGTCAGGGTAAACTCTCCTTATTATAATACTAGAGACCCAGTGCACGGGATTCGTGCACTGGTGGGGGGCCGTGGCCTGCGGGGATCGGCCCACTGTGGGAGCACCGCTCATCCTGGTCAGCTGAGTGGCGCTCCCACTCTGGGAGCACACTGACCACCAGGGGGAAGCTCCTGTATTGAACGTCTTCACCCTGCTGGTCAGTGCACATCATAGCAACTGGTCAACCGGTCGTTCTGATCATTCCACCGTTCAGTTGCTGGGCTTTTATTATATAGGATAGGATGACAGTATTCTTTCTTTTCACATGGGAATCTAAAAGAATTTGCATTCTGCTTTTTGTAGTATTTACATTCTACCTTTTTAAACTGAGTGACTTTGCACAGTTTTACTTTATATAATATTAGAGGCCTACTGCATGAAATTTGTGCATGGGTAGGGTCCCTATGCCTGGCCAGCGATCAAGACTGATCTGTGGAGTGACCAGCAGGGTGACTGGGGAGCCCATGCTGGCACCTGCCTTGGCCGGCCTGGCGCCGCCTGCTCGCCGGCCCTGTCCCCCACCACTGCAGGTCACCTCCCTCTGTGGGCAACTGGTGGGGCAATTGGGGGCCCCCGCTGGCACCCACCTTGGCTGTCCTGAGGCCTGTGGGCTGGGGGCTGCTCCTGCGTTGAGCGTCTGCCCCCTGGTGATCAGTGCATGTCATAGCAACCTGTCATTCCACCAGTCGTTCTGTGGTTTGGTCAATTTGCATGTTAGGCTTTTATTATATAGGATTGCCTTCAACTGGATGCCTAAACCTCCAAAGCAGGTTTTTCTTTCCTGGGTTTAAGCCTAGTATGAGCAAGAAACCTCCACATGACTACACCCTTTGTTATTTGGGCAGGGATGGCTGGTACGCTGGGCTGCCCGCTCCCCTTTCCACCTTATCCATTCAATAGACTTCACTCAAGGTCACCACATCTTTCCTCCTGAGCTTACTGTAGTTTTAGAATCAGCAGCAGAGCTCAGGCATCCACTACATTAGGTCAACATTAGGCACTTGTAAATGGACAGCAGCAGGTTTTTTTTAACTGTTTATCAGGTAAAGTGCACTCTTCAGAACTATCTATATATATAAAAGCCTAAGTGACCATTAAGGACCGGAACTGCCGGTTGCTATGCGCTCCCACATCGGAAGCGCTGCTTAGCCAGAAGCTGGGCTCATGGCTGGAGAGCACAGCTACAGCAGTGCAAGCCTCTCCTGCCTCCATGGCAGCGCTACCAAGCGGCGCGGTGGCAGCGGGACCGGGCTGAGCGGGAGTGGCGCCCGGCCCCTGGCTCTGACTCCTTCCTGGCCGCCTGCTGCTTCCTGCACTGCTACATCCCCTGAGGGGTCCCGGATTGTGAGAGGGCGCAGGCCAGGCCGAGGGCCCCACCGGTGCACACATCCATGCACCAGGCCTCTAATAATAAAGTATTCTGGTAGCACTTAACTGGTAAGCAGACTGGTTTGTCAGTTTCAGCTTCTGTACTATAGTTCTGTCTGGAAAACATGTCTCTCTCAGTGCCTTTAACTTAAAGGTGGCCATCTATCTATTGGTTATTTTTTCACATGCTTGTTTATAACTTTATTTAAAACTTTTTTTTGAAGATCTATGTAATGATTAGGTCAGATATAAATAAGTCATGGCCCTGGCATAAGGAATTCACAGTCTTTAGAGGTGCAAATAGATTAAACAAGAGTCCCATAATAGTTCATGTATATTGAGTAAGATGGGGGGGAAGAGCATCTTAAAAAAAAGAAAAAGGCCCTGGCTGGGTAGCTCAGTTGGTTAGAGTGCCAGTCTGAGTTCAATCTGCAGTGAGGGCACATACAAGAATACAAGAAGCAACCAATGAAATGAATGCATAAATAAATGGACCAGTAAAATTGATGTAAGCTTTGTAAAGGAAGTGATGTTGAAACTGAAGCTTGAAGGGTAAATAGGGAATTTCCCCAGCTGGAGAGAAGGAAAAGGCATTCCAGATAGCAGAGAGACCTGGGAAGTTCAAGCTAACCCCTGTAAAATCCTTAAGGGTTAGAATTAGTTGGGATTTAAAATAAATTCCTGGGTAGTATTATGTATTGATAACCCCTTAATTTGTTTCAAACTCTGTCCAACGATGTTTTCCAGGAACCCGAATCATTTATGATCGAAAGTTTCTGTTGGATCGTCGAAATTCTCCCATGGCTCAGACCCCACCCTGCCATCTGCCCAATATCCCAGGAGTCACCAGCCCCGGCACCTTAATCGAAGACTCCAAAGTAGAAGTAAACAATTTGAACAACCTGAACAATCATGACAGAAAGCATGCAGTTGGTAAGAGAATGCTGGTATTGGGGTCCAAGAGGGTGACCCTAGAAATCTGTATGTCAGCTGTGGGTTGGAAAATGTTGATGCTTCAATTATAACTAATGGTCAATTAATTATATGTTTCTAAGTTCTCCCTCCCCACTACCCTCACCAAAGTTAATTGAAATGTTATGGAAACCCTAAGTTCCAAATAAGCATCAAATTTCATCTAGTGGGTGCGGAGGGGAAAAAAATCAGGGAACTTGGGCTCAATGCGACTAGGGAAAACACAAAACAAAACTGTTTAACCATTTGTAGTCCATAAGCAGGTATAGACACAAGCGGCAGATCTTTCTTAATTAAATTCAAAATATTGTGGCAGTTAACTGGTTAAAAGTCCCCATTTCTAGCTTGTGGGGGAAAGCAATAGGTTTTTCCTCCTTTTTTCTAAGACTGCCTATAATATTTAAATAAACAGCCCCTACACACACAGAGTTAGTAATGAGTCCTTGCTATCTCTGGAAGCAGAAGAGGGAGGTTGAAACAGCCAGCTCCTGAAGTCCACCTCAGGTTGCACTCCGTGACCCCTGTACATGAGCCAGCATTCGCCTCCTCAAATTCCAAATGAGTTTTTAATGGACAAAGTGTCGATTCAAAGCGGGGCCAAAGTTCAAAACTTCCAGAAGAGTGTGCTGATGTGATAGATGGCAAGAAGCACCCCAGGGTTCCTGTGTGGTCAACCTGTAGATAAAGGGACACTGGGAAGGTTTTCATTTCCATCCTTTTCTCAAATGCTCCTTCCCATTGGTGATGTGATTGCCATTCTTTTTTTCTCCCCCAAGATTAAAAAGACCAGCCAAAGCAAAGCCGAATAATTGTTTTAAGGCAGCAGAAAATTGGACAGTTTGAATTAATTTTTACCCTCGTACAGAGATAATGACAATGAAAGCTGTTTTGCTTTTCCCTTTTGTGTAAGACTTTTCATCTTTTCATTCCATCTAGGGGATGATGCTCAGTTTGAGATGGACATCTAACTGTCCTGTAAGGATCAGAAGAATAGCAGCAACGCTGATACCTGTGTGTGTACCTGATTTGGCCAATAGGATCAACAATGAAAACACAGAAGAGGCAGTACCAGCAGTCCCCATTGCAGTGCCCCCTCCTCTTCCTCTGGGTGCCAAATGATGCAAAGATGAGCTTCATCTGACTATTTCCTCTTCCTGCTTCTGTTCCCTTTCCCACTTAGATTAGATCGAAGGCCCATGGCGTATTTCTGTAGAACTAAGCAGCCCACAAAGGAAAACAGTTGAATTCTGGCTTCCTTAGTCATTTTTGTATTGAGACACCCCCCGCCCCTCCAATTAAAAAAACAAAAATCCAAAATCAGATATCAACCTACCAATAATTGCTGGCTTCCAGGAAAGTCTGGGCAAGTGTTACAGAGGTTTGCTGGGTTCAGCATTGTTCATGTTCTTATCCTGTGTCTCCTGCCTGTCTTCCACCCATGGTTCAGTGCTACAGCAGTCTGGTTTGGGGTCTTCAAAACCAGAGGGAAATAAACAAGAAAAGAGCTGCTCTCTCTTGTCCCTTAAGGTGTTTGTCCCTGGGGCCAGCACAGGTTGTACAACTCTGGTAGCACTACCTGTGACACTGTTCTGAGGCCTGCCTCCCCTCCATCCTCTGGGAGGAATGCCTTCTGTCTTTGGTATAATAGTTTATCTTTCCATTCCTTTACTTAGCACATGTGCGCAAGCATTTTAAACTCTACATGAGGGGTCGTCAGTAACCAGCTGTTCTTTCCTCCTCTCCTATTCTCCCTTCTTGCATCATGTTGCTTGCAGTCCTATTGTACTCTGAGCAGCCACATGATTTCAGAGATAGAGCACTTTGGATAAGGCCTGATCATAGTACTTAAGCATGATTTTGGAAGAACCTTGGCCCATTTGAGTCACTAGTCTTAGTTGTCATTGTTTTTTTTAATCCAATGAGCATTGTAATATCGCAGGCTGCAGTTTTTTATATTTTTTAAAGATGACTTCCAGAATGCTCTTAGAAAAACCAAGTGTTTTTCCTTTGTGGACCTGCTTTATTTGGCTGCTGAGATAGATAAGCATGGGCTTCACAATGTGTTCCTCCCCATTTTCTTGCTTTCCCTTTGTACCCTGATTTTCCCTTTCTTTCCCTTCTTCTCTCTTTCCTTTTTCTCTGCCAGGCCATGTTTCAAATATACATCAAAGATACCTCAAGTGTTGGTATCTGATAATATCTGTCACTCTTATTTGAGAAGTGACCTTTTATTTTTTAAGATGACTACAGACCTATTTTTAGATATGTTTTCAGTAAATTCTGAACAGCAACTTTTTAATCACATCTTCCAGTGGTAGGAAGGTGAGAAATGTCTGTAGGCAAGTCTGCTGTTCCATGTCACCATCCTTTGTCTCCTGCAGTCCCTTTCTTTCTCCTCCTAGTTTTGGGTGTGCATGCTTGGCGTTTGTAGTGGGTGGGTGGTAAAGCTGGACCGTTCTGCCTTGTGGGTTGTTCATGAAAGCCTCCTTCTTCTCCCTTACCCTTTGCTCTGTCATTCCCTCTGCTCCCTAGCCACCCCCCTGACTATTGACTGGCACAGTAATCCCAGGAGAGTGACTCAGTCCCTCTTAGAAAGACTAATGCCTCTGTCCCCTCATAGAAAGACAAGTAGCCTCTGATATCCTGGGAATTTCTGGTTGGGTTTGGTGCCCTGAATCATCTATTGAGATCACAGCCCAGGGTGAGAGTAACGGGCCAGTTGGCTAAGAAAGAAAGCTGTTTGTTTTTCTTTTGAACCATGAAAAGACCCTGTGTGCAAATACATCTTAGACAAAAGAGGGAGGATGTCCAAGGAACTTTGTTCTGCTTTCTGCTATAAAATGTGAATAGTTCACAAAGTGAAACCTTTTGTGATGGTTGATATCTCAGGAATAAGCTGGACCTCCAAAGTTTTGGAGATGCTTTCAGTCTCAAAAGCTGATGATCAGAAAAGTATTGTTTGTTTGTTTACTTTATCCCTGTTCTGATTTTAATTAAACTCCAGATTTCGTTTTACATTCTCTTGGAAATCTCAAGTTACACTGTCGTTTGCTTAAGAAGCTGGCTTAGGACGTCTGTGTCCCTGGAGCATGATTCTTTAGGAGTGAAGATTTCCTTCTTCATATCCTGGCCTTGGCGTCTGAGGAATCCGACTCCAACTACAGCTGGCCGGGCTGTCAGTGAGCAGAAGAGTATCCCCTCCCTGACCTTTATTATTGCTCAGAAACCTCAGCTGCCTCTCCGAGCAGTGGGGAATGGAACTAAAACATGCCAGCTTGAGTAGTGTAAGATACAGTTTTCCCCTTTGTTTGACAACTTGGGGGAGCTCTGCACGGGCCCCCTAATTAGAAGCCATGTTTCTAGTATTCCTGGGAGTGTCGGCTGTATAGTGCAACCGCAGCCCAGTCCCTTAGCCTCCTCTGCAAGGACTTCCTTACTGCTGGGTGAACTTCTTTCCTGGAGTCCACTGCCACTAGAAATACTTTGACTTCATTAATGGGTATCTTAAAGATGATTTCACAAGGCAACATAAAATTCCAACAGGTGACACCTTTGTGCCAAGCTTCCGAATCGTTTTCAGGGCAAGCAGAATCCAGTAGGTGGTTTACTTCTGGGTGTTTGAAAGGAAACTCAGAGATAAATCCCTGAATGAACTATCTATCCTGACTTTTCCTTGGGGAGGGAACATCCTTCGGGTACCATTTGAGTGAAACAGTTCTTAAAATCTTAGTGATCATTTGTATTTTTGTTTCTGTACTTCTGGTGACAGTCCATCTTAATGACGATGACCTCTTTCTCCAAATTCCTGCAGGAGATTTGCATCGTCGTGGTTCTCCGTTCTTTTATGGTGTGGTTTCTTTAGCTCACCACTTCCTCATTCTGTATAAATACTTACCGAATTCTCAGGAGCACAGAGCAGAGAAACTGGCTTCTGGGTATTAGGCTTCCAAGCCAAGCGTTCTGTCCTTCCACTTCTGTTATCTGTTGCTGCGTAACTCCCCCAAACTCAAACTCTTAAAAAGGCAAACATCATCTGTCAGTTTCTATAGGTTTGGAACTTGGAAACAGCTTAGCATCGTGGGTCTGGCACAGGGGTCTTAGGAAGTTGCAGCCCAAGGTGTTGGCAGGGTCTGCAGTTGTCTGGGGCTGGAGAATCTACTTCTGAGCTCTCTCTTTGTGGTTGTTAGCAGGATGCCTCAGTTTCTCCACATGCAAGTCTCTGTGTAGAATATTGTGAGTGTCCACACACCATGGCTGCTGGCTTCCCCCTGAGAGGGTGATCTGGGGGAAGAAGGGGCAGGGAGGAATTTGCAGTGCCTTTTATGACAGTCTTTGAAAGCACACACCTTCACGTCTTATTCTGTTCCTTAGGAACAAGCCACTAAGCCCAGCCTGCACTCTAGGGGAGAAATAGACCCCTACCTACTGTATAGGGCAGTATCAAAGGATTTGTGGATATATCTTCAAACCACCTCACCCCTAACAGGATGAAACCAGGCCAAAAGGAGTGGGGGTTAGGTTTAAACTAGATGATATATTGAGAGAGATGTTGCTACTGAGAACAGTTTTCTGAGATGTGTTATCCTCAAACCGGGATAGAAGACAGATTATTTCCTGAAAGCTACCTGCTAGTTTTGAGGGGTGGCAGGAAATGGCAGCTCCCAGGAGAGCATAATGCGTATACACTTGCCTGGCTAACAGCAGCCCAAAGATGCTACTTGCAAGTCCCTAAAAATTCAGTACCACTTACTTGCTATCCCCTCTAGCCAGGAATTGGCCAAGGGAATTGGGTCTGTGTAGCTGATCCACTAAAGCTGACAATCGGAGTTAGGGTTTCTAGCAAAGAGAGCAAATGTGAAGTAGATGTTGGATCACTGAGCTGAAGAAAAGTAATATAAGAACTCACCGTGTACGGATTTACACTCTGCCTCTTACCAGCATTTTCTTACCTGTAGCCCGGCTTGCTCTAGAGGTCAGATTCAGGGTGCAATAGATGATGGCATCTGGACCAGGCCCACCAGAGGCGATGCTTGACACTGGTCTTCAGCTGCACCAGCTGAAACTCCTTGATCAAGTGTTCACCCAAGGGGCTACTCGTCAAAGTAGGGAACATCTGGGAATTAGGAATGTCGTTGCTTGATTGTCCTTTAAGTTCAGTATTACAGGTTAACTCGTGTGCCCACTTAGTCCGGGGCCTCTTGATGGAAATGGGTTTTTTTGTGTTGTTTTTTTTTTTAAATATATTTTATTGATTTTTTACAGAGAGGAAGGGAGAGAGATAGTCAGAAACATCGATGAGAGAGAAACATCGATCAGCCGCCTCCCGCACATCCCCCACCGGGGATGTGCCCGCAACCCAGGTACGTGCCCTTGACCGGAATCGAACCTGGGACCCTTCAGTCCGCAGGCTGACGCTCTATCCACTGAGCCAAACCGGCCTCGGCGGAAATGGTTTTTTAAAGAGAACCAGTCTTGTCTTCACTCTTGCGAGAAACTTGGGTGAGGTTTGTCAGTTTGACGCATTCTTAGGGAGTGTCTGCTGTGAGTGTGTGACACCCATGCCCAACCAGGTTTATAGAGGTTTCAGACATCTCGAAGATGCAGATTCTCATACGGATTTACACTCTGCCTCTTACCAACGTTTTCTTACCTGTAGCCCTGCTTGCTTCAGTGTAGGCTTGAAGAAAAGCATTGCTACTGAGGCAGCTATAAGAAACAGCTATTTCTTCTTAAAGAAAGGAACTCATCTTTAAGGCACCTTCAAATTAATTATGCTTTTCCTTCTGATTTTAAAGTGGAGTCAACCTAGACAGTGTTTTATTTATCAGCTCTTAGGGACTCTCAGAACTTACCTTCCCAGTTCAAACATTTCCATTAGGATGTACCCGCTGGATTTGTGTGGGTTTCATCCCAGAGCCCATCATTTGCCAGTATGTATTGAGCATATGCTTTGAATCAAGGCCACTGGTGCAAGGGGCTCATCTTGGCAGTAATATCCCAGAAACTGAACCTTTTTCTATTCTCCCATCTTGGCTCCTCAGTGGGGTATCAAGCATCTTGGCTGCTGAGCCAGGGCCCTCAGCCCCTTGTATATCTCTTTAAAGAGGAGGCCCAGTGCCTTTATTTGGGTCAGAACTTTCCCTTCTTGGCATGTTTCTGGACTACATGCATACCGGCAGCTATTGATAAATATGCGAAAAATTCAATCACTCACCTGTGACCTCTGGGAGGGGAGTTGTATTTGTTTTAAAAAGGCATTGTTTCTTTGGGAGGGCAGTTTCTGTCTGGACTAGAAGGGGGTGCAGTTATCACACATACTTCCTTCGCCCCAAAGTTCTTTACCTTTCAGCTTTCAATAAAAGTTGAAAACAGATTTGGAGGCAATTCTTTAGAATGCTTGTCACCCAGGGGGATTTCCTGTTCTAGTAATCATTTTCCAGTTGAGTATTGGAGTTTTCTTGAGGCAAGCTCCCAGAAATTTTTTACTGAAGACTAAGGATGATTGATACATACCTATTTTTCAAACAATCATTCATGTCACCTTTCTCAGCTTCTGGATTGCACATTTCTTTGTGCTCGTCCTGGAAGTTGATACCTTTTGGGAAAGCTTAGATTTAGGAGGTCTTTCAAGGTCTTGTTCACATGGTCTGTGGTTTCTCATTGCCTAATCTCTGCCTGAAGCCCTGGCAGACCATACTGTAGATGCTGATGGAAAATATTATGAAGATGAAAATACATTTTCGGGAGTATTTAAACTCTTAACTCTGCCACCTTTCTATGAGTGGGAGGCGGGCTGAGAGATGCTGCAATGCTTGATAATCATTTAGCCATGCTGAAATTTGCAACGGGAACTCTTGTCGGTGCTTAAAACCAGAATTCCTGGTCACTTCAAACTTGGAGAATTCCATGAATCTAGCACAGAATAGCCATACTTGCCTATTGCCATCCCTGTCTCTCCATCTTAATCTTTGAAAAGAAAAAAGAAAAAGGCAAAGCCCCAGCCAAGGGTAATTTTTACTTGAAACCAGGAGAGTGGGGGAGGAACACTGTAGAGATCAGGGGCGAGCTATCCGCGGCAGCCATCCTGCTCTGCTGCGTGTCCAGATCAGAGTACTGTGAGCCAGTGCCTTTCCTCCACCTGAAGATGGAGCCCATCTCCCTCCCTCGGTGAGGAGACCCTGTGCTACCCAGGGTAAACCTTCGAGAAGGTGGCTTAGAGAGCCCGGTGGACACTCACATATTCCGTGTCCATTTTAAGCATCTTTAAAATATTTTAGACATTCAAAAATGCCCTTCCCTGTCTTAGCGACACCAGTGGCCCAATTCCATCCATTCTGAATGGAAAGCAGAGACTGCCAGTTCTTCCTTTGATCTTCCCTTCATCCCCCTTGATGTGGCTGACCCTGACCCCTCATCCATTTCACTGTCATGGATGGATAGCAGAGGGCACCATGTAGTCCTGAGGCAGTCCCGTGTGATTCTGTGATCAGTTGTTTTGGGTTTGGGTTTTTTGGTGGTTGGGTTTTTTTTTGTTTTTTTTTTGTCTAATTGTCCTTTCAAACCAGCAGGTGTTTGGAAATTAGTGAAAAAATAAATTCTCACCAATGGTTGCTGTTACAGTTAAATCAATAAAGATCTTGGATATCAACTTGGTGTTCTATTTAATTTTTTGTTTTCAGGTGAAATCCTGTTGGTTTCACATTCTGGGAGTCTTGGCTGATGAGGGAGATGGGCAAAGGCAGTTGGCCACTTCATGTGTCTGTTCTCGCACTTAGGGAGCGCCAACTTTGCCCATCTACCCTGTATGTGCAGGGAGTGCCGACTTTGTCATCTGGCCCTGTATGTGCAGGGAGCGCCAACTTTGCCCATCTACCCTGTATGTGCAGGGAGTGCTGACTTTGTCATCTGGCCCTGTATGTGCAGGGAGCGCCAACTTTGCCCATCTACCCTGTATGTTATGTGCAGGGAGTGCTGACTTTGTCATCTGGCCCTGTATGTGCAGGGAGCGCCAACTTTGCCCATCTACCCTGTATGTGCAGGGAGTGCTGACTTTGTCATCTGGCCCTGTATGTGCAGGGAGCGCCACTTTGTCCATCTGGCCCTGTGTGTGCAAGGCGGTGATGGGTCCCTTCCTGCAGCAGCTTGGAGGCGAAGGGGTACATGCTGGGGCTGGATGTACAAGCAAACTAGGTGCCAACCATGAGGAAGCCCAAACAGCTCTTGCTGAAGCGGCTGCCTCTGCCTCTCAGCACTTGTTAGGAATCCGTCATATCTGATGTCTTAAAATAGACCCGGCTGTGCTGCATAGCAGCAGATTCCTTGCTATTATTAATCCAGTGAGAACAAGTATTCTCCCATGCTTCAGATGCAGGGAAGTCCACTGAATAAAACTGGACTTGAGATTTGTTCCCGTCAGAACAGCCTAGAGCAGCGGTCGCCAACCAGTGGTCTGCGGACTACTACGGTGGCCGTGAGGTCCGAAAGGTTGGCGACTGCTGGCCTAGAGGGTTAGCTCAGGCTGTGGAATAAGAGGCCAGATTCCAGCTGCATTCCTGCCAATAGGAGTCTCAGCCCTGGTTTCCTTCTCTAACGTAGGGTTAAGGTCGTCTTTCCTAGGTGCTTTGAGGCTCAGGTAAGATTGGAGTTCAGGAAAGGACTCGAGAACAGCTCAGCTGACTCCCGAGTGAGCAAGTTTGGGAATGATCAGGACTGAAGACTTTAAGGCAGTGGTTCTCAACCTTCCTAAGGCCACGACCCTTTAACACAGTTCCTCATGTTGTGGTGACCCCCAACCATAAAATTATTTTCGTTGCTACTTCGTTACTGTAATGTTGCTACTGTTATGAATCGTAATGTAAATATCTGATATGCAGGATGTATTTTCATTGTTATAAATTGAACATAACTAAAGCATAGTGATTAATCACAAAAACAATATGTAATTATATATGTGTTTTCCGATGGTCTTAGGCGACCCCTGTGAAAGGGTCGTTCGACCCCCAAAGGGGTCGTGACCCACAGGTTGAGAACCGCTGCTTCAAGGGAAGATGGGGCCGAATCATTTTGAAGGCACTTTTCATACACACTTTGCACCAAAGGCAAGTAAGATATTAACCTCAAAGGCAACTTAGGGTATAGGGGTAAGGGTTTTGCTGCTAATAAAAGGCTTTACTAGATGGAGATAAACTTGACTATGGTGCTATGTGAATCACATCTGTGTTTCTGCTTCTCCTCTTACTTTGTCTTTTCTCCACCCCTACCTACTGCCAGGCCCGCCCACTTCTCCAGCCAAGGAGAATAGTGCATCCGATTTTCCCCCCTCACCTGCTGACTTGAACTGCTCTAGAAACAATGGAAGGAGGCCTTTGCCTTCAGAGCAAGTTAAAGTACCCCTGACTGTTCTACAGAAGCCCCTTCCTGCCCCCCAGGTTAGGACAGGACTCGGTTCTCAGGAGGTAGTATGTCCTCCAACTTAGAAAGCATTCACCAGGTGCACACAGGCTCAACCATGGAGCTGTGCTGCGAGGCTCGGCCCTAAACACCTCTGGCCAGACAGCAGGATGTCCCTGGGGCTGACACGAACCGAGCTTTCGGCAGGGCGTCAGCAAAAGGTAGCTTCACTCGTTTGTGCCTGCGTCTTCTGCTTGATAGGAGGCAATGCCTTGTCCTCAGAGAGGTTTGTTCTCTGAGTCAGAGCTGCTAAGGAGACACTCCCACAAGCTGTGGCTGCAAATAGCTTGACCTGCTTTCCTGGCCCCAGCCATAGAACTACTGGGCACCTACTTAGTCAAGATGCTCTGAAGTCCTGGGATGGGATTTTCCCTCCCAAGAAATTCAGTTCTGTAGTGGAAGTAGAATTCTGGTTCCAAAGCGAGGGGAGCAAAGACCCCTGAGTACTATTAAGCATGGTGCCCCTGGGGCTGCAGACCAAAGCGCAGGTCTGGGTCCCGCCACTCCTACGTGTGTGGTCAGGCCACTAGGCCTCTCTGGGGTCTCATTTAGGAAAGAGAATGGGACAACAGCTGACCTGACGAGGCCCTCCCAGCCAAGTGGAATCAGATGCAGAATCCAATTGTGAGCCTGCAGCGTGGGTAGGGCGGGTCTGTTCCCACTCCAGGAAACGAGCAGCTGGGTCAGCTTTGTGCTGAGTCAGGGCATTGAGGCGTCTCAGGCCCAGGCCTGGCTCTAGCCTCGCCAGCCCTGCCTGGGCCAGGATTACTACCTTGACCCAACCAAGGCTGCATGTCTAAACTCAGCAAGGGTCCTCGCATGCTTGGGATCACTTCCCAAAGGCTGGGCTTCTTGGTGAGGCAGGGACAGACTGACGGTGGACTCATTCCCAACAAAATGGCCCCTTGCCCTGACAAACATATATATAGCCCATCCTAGCCAGTTTGGCTCAGTGGATAGAACATCCGCTCTTGGTCTGAAAGGTCTCGGGTTCAATTCCCGGTCAAGGGCACGTACCTCAGTTGCAGGCTGGATCCCAACCCTGGGGTGCGTGCTGGAGGGAACCAATAGATGTGTCTCTCACATTGATGTTTCCCTCTCTGTCTCTCCCCCTCCTTCTCTAAAAAAAATCAAAGGAAAAATGTCCCAGGTTGAGGATTAACAAATGTATATATATATTTCCCCCGTTTTGGCAGTGCTGATAAGGAAATGCAGAATTGCTGCCTTTGGGGTCTTTTCATCCAGAAGGCAAAGACTTGTGCTTGGTGGGAGAGCTCCCTATGAGAAAGCTATGTTCCTTTTGCTGTGCTGCTGTGAGAAACGTGAAGTTAAGCAGCCGTGGGCAAACTACGGCCCGTGGGCCGGATCCGGCCCATTTGAAATGAATAAAACTAAAAAAAAAAAAAAGACCGTACCCTTTTATGTAATGGTGTTTACTTTGAATTTATATTAGTTCACACAAACACTCCATCCATGCTTTTGTTCCGGCCCTCCAGTCCAGTTTAAGAACCCATTGTGGCCCTCGAGTCAAAAAGTTTGCCCACCCCTGAGTTAAGGCAATCTTAGAACCCTGGGCAGCAAAAGCTGATAAAGGATAGAGAACGGGATGGCAGGGCCTGGCCTAGCAGGCTTTGTTGGGAGATGGGATAAAGCCTGACTTACAGCTCGGGAGCCTTCCAACAGACATTTCACAGGAATGCGTGAGGATCCACCTGCTTTCATGTCACAGGATGAGGCTGAGTAGTGAATTACTCACTTGAGGGACAAGGTCACACAGCCGCTCAGTGGCTGAGCTGTGCCCACAGCCCAAATCTGCCCCCCTGGGCAGGGCCTACACCCCTATGGATAGGAAGCTCAGGGCCGCATTCATAGCACGCATTAAGAGACGGAAGTGAACTGTCACCAACTTTAATAGACTCGGGGGGTGGGGGGGAGCGTCTGAGGGCCCCAGCTGCTGTAGTCCAAAGTGGCCAGTTCTCTGAGACGAGTTCCTGCCTCTCCCTCCAGAGGCACCAGCAGGCCCAGAAGGACTGTACAGTGGCTTTATGACTGTACAACTCATTAGCAGAGATCCACTTCAGGAAGCCTGGACAAGGCCAACAGATTGCTCCTGGCCGGCTGTAAAGACGTGGGCCCCTCGCCCAGCCTGAGGCAACCGGAGCCATTGACTCGTGATGCTTGATCTTGGGGGTGGGGTGGCAAAGACCACTTTCGAGAATACATAAAAGTTATAGACAACCTTGTCCCACCTCAAAAACGTGTATGTGCCCCAACTTTCGCATACGATTTCCGGGAGTGCACAGGTTTAAAAAGGCAGGTAAGGTCTCTTCATTAGTGCTTTCACTCGCCACTGTCTGTCCAGTGAAGAGAAAACCCAGCCAGGCTGCTTCACAAGCTCCCCCTCCCTCTCCTGGCCTCTGTTTAGCCAGCCTCGAGGGCCCGTGTTTGTAGTGCAGCCTTCCTTTTATTTCTTTGCATTGGATCGGACGGTCATCATGTCTTCCAGGAGCCCCCCAGCCTTCCGGGGAACAGGCAAATCCAGCGCCCCTCCAGGACCTCATAGGCACCCGCACTCTTCCACAATCATGTCCTTATGATGGTCTAGAAGGACTCTGCCATTGTCCACATACAGCATGCTCAAGGGCCTGGTCTTCACGGGGGCACAGCAGGTGGAAGGGACGCGGTGGGGCTGGTACCGTTTCAGCAGACTCTGAAAAGGAGGAGGGGTCAGTTCAACATCCGGGTCAGAATAGGTCATTTCTGGGTAAAGGGTGAAAAAGATACTGAGAGTCTAGATCAGTGACTGGGTGCAAAAATAGAAGGAAACTGTTTTCATAAAGGAATCAGCATGCCAATACATCACCGACTCTAACTTCTAAAATCACTTCTGCTTTCTTAAAGCATCTTTTAAACAGAAGATTCTAAAAGCTGTGTCTGGGTAGAACAGTAGCCAACTTATACGTTCTCCTATTATTATAGTCCAGAGCAGTGGTTCTCAACCTTCCTAATGCTGCGACCCTTTAATACAGTTCCTCATGTTGTGGTGACCCCCAATTTCATTGTTACAAATTGAACATAATTAAAGCATAGTGATTAATCACAAGACAATATGTAATTATATATGTGTTTTCCGATGGTCTTAGGCGACCCCTGTGAAAGGGTCGTTCAACCCCCAAAGGGGTCACGACCCACAGGTTG